ACGGCCCAGCACATACTAAGGATGGCACAGTGTTTTTTTATATTTCCTACTGCCTTCTGCCTTAGGTAATAGTTCAACTTGACAAGCAATAAAATCCTGAGTGGCAAGGTGGATTACTTGGGTCCTTTTACAACAGATACAATAAAAGAGATCAATGTTTGAAAGAATAGTTAGTATTTAAATAGGAATATCGTAACACTGAAAAAAAGGGAAAGTCTGAAAAGTCTGAAAAAAAGGGAAAATGTACCAAGATAATACTTGATCCAAAATAATAACAATCAGTATTTAATATATCTCTAAATCTTTTCAACTATATATGTATCATATATAAAAGATGATGGCATCTAACTTAGTTTACATAAATGACATGGTACTGGTACAATTAGTACTTTGTAATAGCAAGGAGACAAAGGAAACATTTTTAATTTAGCTTTGTAAATACTGACATAAAATAATTTAATGTAAATTGATGACATTTTTGGCACAAGCACAAAAGAATCAAAATCATAAAAGTTGCTTTTAAAAAGAAGACCAAAATAAAAAAATAAAATTTTAAAGTGTACTAAAATACCTACCTCTTTGTGTCTTGTTAACAAATATTCCTTTTAATCAGAATTTACTGTTAGATTTTCAAAGGTTAAATTTATGGGAATAGTAAGTTTCATATAATTTTTGTTTTCCTTGCAATATGTTGAAACTTGTTTATTACAGAGTGGAATTTGGTATAAGATGGGTTGTTTTGGATCTTGTCCAGGAGTTTAGTTACTGGACAATGAAGTTACTTACTTCATTATAAGATGATTTCACCAATAAGGTGATCCATTGGCTCAGATCACATGGATATTATAACAAGGCCCCATTGTAAAGTACAGGAAGCCAGGCAGCTAATGGTCTATCAAATGAAACCTTAAGAAACAAAATGCTTTTTTTTAGTAGACATGAAACTCATTTAAGCCTAGAAAATCATAAGCCTAGGTCATCTATTTAAATTTCCATTTCCTGAAGTGATGTCTTTATGTTTAATTGCTACATAGCTAATTTATATTAGTTTTAGCTTTCTTAGACATTTGCTGTCTGATGTGGTCTTAAATTTATTTTTTATTATGAAAAAGTTCAGTTTTAATACTGCCTTTCTATTTACAAAAAATTGACTGCATTTGTCTATGGAAATAGACAAGAATCTACCACAAATTCATTCGGATTAAACTAAAATCTTGTGCAGCATGCTGATAAATCTGAGGCTAAAAAGATCATGAGCAAGAACTGTGTAGTAAGCAACTATCCAAAAAATGTCATCAGAGGTTAAATGACAATAACCAATCTTCCAAGTGATTTTACAATAGGCATTTTGATTTCATGAAGTTTTATAAGCAATTCCAAAGAATTAAGTAGCTTGAATGTGTTTAACTATAGGAACATAACACAAGGTCATACTGTAGAAACACAACATGGAAAAGCCTTCAAAAAATTAATGCCTTAAATAGAAAGAAGAAAAAATAAAGCACAAAGTCTTATGTGAACTTGGAAACAATATCAAATTAAAAACCACGTAATAATTAAATGCACAGTAGTAGCATGAAGAATTATCATTAATTTCTAACATAATTATTAAAAGTTTTAAATGATTCATGTAAATATTGAAAGTCATGAAACATCTGCTGTTTACAATGTACCTTTCTTCCATGAATTAAGCCCTTTCTCCAACTGGTCATTTTGCTGATTCGTGGCCTGTATGCTCTATGTATTTTTAGTCCTTAAATAAATTATTAGATAATTACCTAATTTGCATTGAATAGGTAAGGCAAATTACATGATGAAAAAACTTGTCTTAAATATCTCAAAAGCCTTAAAAAATAAACTAGCCAAATGACTTCTCCTTATTACTATATAAAGATCTGTTTAGTCAAAGCTATGGTTTTTCCAGTAGTTACGTATGGATGTGAGAGTTGGACCATAAAGAAAGCTGAGCACCAAAGAACTGATGCTTAGAACTGTGGTGTTGGAGAAGACTCTTGAGTCCCTTGGACTGCAAGGAGATCCAACCAGTCAATCCTGAAGGAAATCAGTCGTGAATATTCATTGGTGGCCAATACTTTGGCCACCTGATGCGAAGAACTGATTCACTGGAAAAGACCCTGATGCTGGGAAATATTGAACGCAGGAAGAGAAGGAAACGACAGAGGATGAGATGGTTAGACGGCATCACCGACTTGAGGAACGTGAATTGGTGATGGACAGGGAGGCCTGGCGTGCTGCAGTCCATGGGGTTGCAAAGAGAGTTGGATACAACTGAGCGACAGAACTGAGCTACTATACAATGATTCTTTATTGTCAGTTTATCACCTATCTATCTATCTAATCTATCTATCATCATTAGGGAAGACTCCATATAAAGCAAGAGTGTGCTCCACATATATGATTGATTTACCAAGTAATAACTGAGGATTTGCCATAAGTCAGATACTCTTTTAAATGCTTTTATATGTTTTAACTTGAACTTTCTAAAACATCTCTTTAAAAAGTATTTTATCACTAATGAAAATGTCCTACCTCATACTCTTTATAAAGACCCAGTACTTTACTTCTTGCAAAACCATCCTGGTCAAAGCTGTGATCTGAGGAGAAGATATACCTGTTGCAACTGTGGAATCATTGTACAAAATTTTTGAAACACCACTTGGGATTACTATAAGCTTGTGCCACATCTCTAAGTACATTCTCAGTAATTGAAATTTTTAACCTTGGAGAAAATTAGATTTTGGCAAGAATAAATTATATCTAGGGAAAGAGATGGTATTTTGAGATTGAGTTGGATAATAACACTGGTGGGTCAGATGGTAAAGAATCTGCCTGCAATGCAGGTGACCTGGGTTTGATCCCTGGGTTGGGAAGATTCCCTGGAGAAGGGAATGGCTACCCACTCCAGTGTTTTTGCCTGGAGAATTCCATGGGCAGAGGAGCCTGGTGGGCCACAGGTCATGGGGTCGCAAAGAGTCAGACACGACTGAGTGACTAACACCTTCACTTTCTTTTCTTTGGATAATCACACTAAGATATGTCTAAAAAATACTGTACTTGGTTCTTCTCCAGTAGTTTACCAATTCTTCTAAAGACAATTTTAAGCATTCAGGAATATTTTAATCGTAGCAATGTTAAAATATTTTCCTTCCTAAGTTACTATGCACATATTCATACAATTATTCATGTTATTTTTATACAAATGGTTTGCTTTAAGCATTTTGCAGCAAAAGCAAATGAAAATTGATTCAGAATAAAATATCAACACATACTCCTTTAAATTATGGATTTTTAAGGTTGAAAGGGATTTGCATGATTTTATAGTATCAAACTACACATTTCACAGATGAAACTAATTCCCCAAAAGGCATGACTTGGCAAATTTTAGTGGCAGAGCCAAGAATGGAGCCAAAGTCTCTTGCCTTCCACCTGGCACTTTTCCTACTATCACCCTACCCTTTATCTGTGGATTAAAAACTATCCCAAAGAGGACAAATGATTTCACCCATTCAAAACAATTTAGAAATTACCTTCTAATCCAGTGTTTGAAACTTTTTACTGATCACCTAAGAAAAAGATCTAATACTAGATGGGACTGAATATATCCCAATCTACAGATATAATCTTTAACTGGTAAATTATCCATTTAAATTTCTTTGAATTATGCTCAGAGTTGTAACACCCAATGCTATAGAAACAATTAAGCTGTATTCAATCTAAATGCCATTGAAATGAAAGTAAACATATTTATATATAATAAATCACTGTCCCAAATAAAAAGATACCTGACTTCAGAGAATTTTGAATTGAAAATAATGAAACACATCCACAACTTGAACAACTCATAAAATTTCAATTCAAATCACTCACAAGAAGCCTAAATGTCTACTGAATAACAGATGTTTCTTGGAAAAGATCAGTGAATGTATTTTTGGAATGATGTCAGAGAAGAGCTTCTTTTATAACCATTTTTAATCAGAAGTACAGCTTCATTCATAAAAACACAGAGTCAAAATTTACAGAAAGGCTTATTACTGAGATACCACAGAACATTTTTCAGCTACTGTTACATGTTTGGGTTTACTTATTAAATTTATATTTGAAGTTTCCTATCTTGGCTGCATAATTGAAACCTTTCAGCTAGAAAAGATCACATTTTCCACAATGGTAATGAAGCTAAACAATCAGAATTGAAAATTTGGAGTCCTTAATTTGGTATCTTATGATTTTATATAAATTTGTTTAAAACATGCTTGATTTAGGTTTAACGAACAAAAAACAATTTCAATTAGAAATGCATGTAGTTTTCTTAATTCTTAATTACTTACAAGTAGGCAGTTTAATATAGGAATATACTTTTCAAGAAGACTGTGACTTCTAAAAAAAAAATCTCAGACTGATCTGAGGTAAAATCTAGAGAAACATGATCCATGGGTGACTGGATTAGATTGCTATTAATTTTTACAGATCAGTATGAAAACAAATGGATGAAGAGGACTATAAAAACAAATATTCATGTGAAATTTAAAGTGCACTAGGAAACTACATATCTTCCAAACTGATTAATTCAATATAGCATTTAGCAGAGGGAAACTTCTTGAAGGAAAATATCTTTTAAGAAAAAATTTATTAAAACTCAAGAGTAGTAAAACTTGTATTTTTAAACATAATATAGTCTTTGGATTAAAGTGAAAAATATATCTCAAACTAAAAAAGTCCCCCAAAACCATGCTACTTATCCAATATATAAATTATCATTTACAATATAGTTGAATATATGCATGAGGGTATGTTTTTATAGCTTGACAGTTAAGTATTATTACCTAACACCAGGGAACACATCTTTATTTTTGGAAGGAGACTGTTTAAAGTTCTTTATATCCATTTCCTGAGTATTTTCCCAGTTCCAATTCATTTATGAGTTGTTTTTACATTACTACCAAGGTCATCAACTTTACTTTCTTAAATAGGCATGAATCTTTTCAACTTTGGTCCTCAGCTTTCATTTCTCTGACTGAATCCACTCCTTTTGTAGTTTTAATTTCAAAAAGATCTTCAATTAAAATGCAGTTTGAACTATTAGTCAATCTATTGTCTCTCTCAGCTCCAGCTAGTTCATTCTTCTCTTCACTTGTATCTACAGGATCATAAAGTTCAGGTGTAAAATAGATAGACTCATCTGCTTCTGTTTCAGAAGCTGTATTTGAAGCAGGAGGTTCAGCTTCTTCACTTACTACAGACAACTGAATTGCTGGATCTTTGGAATTCAGATTAGTAGCATCAACGCTTGCAGATGGAACAATGGTTTCTGATTGAGGGCATGCTCCAAATGATGTATCTACTGTCAGAGATGAGGACTCATATTTATCAGTGAGTGGCAAAACTGTTTCACATTTCTTTTCTGTTTTGAAAGTGGAAGAAGTAGAGGCACAATCCTCTGATGACCTAACCACAGGGGTTCCAGTCAGAATTTTACCAGTGAGATACTGTCCCCCCATATTACTGCCAGACCAGCTAACTCGGTCTGTTTGTTTGCTGAAGGTTGGGCTTGTGGATCTGGAAATCACAATTCTTTCTGCTCCTACTGCCTGGGCAGACTCTTCTAATAATTCTGGATCATCTACAAATATAAGAGCATAAGAGTGTTAACCTTCTGCTCCTAACATCATAATTGTTACATTAAAAGTGATTTTTGCTAGAAATACTGAAATAACTGTATAGGCTACCTAATTCAGAGCCCCTAACAAGAGGTAGCAGGACTTCCATTTTAGAATGCAGAGGACAACATGTTAACTCTGAAAGGAATCTTAGGTCTCCGGTGATTCCCAGCCCAAGTTATAACACGGTCTGGTAAACTATCAAATTCCACACCAGGGACCTCAGAAGTGAACAAGAAAAGGAAGGGTAAAAAGCAAAAGAAGGCTGAGTAAAGGAGGAAAGAGGCTGTAAAACTGCCTTAAAAACCCACTAACCAGTGATTGAGAAAAACTGACCCAGATTAATTCCCTTAAGGCAGCTGACAACCAAAAAAAAAAAAAAGGAACCTGACAACCACAAAGACTAAGATATTTGCTTGAGGTTATAAAAGTGGTTGGTAATCAGACCTGGACTAGAAACTAGGTTTCCTGATTACCAGTATAATGGCCTAGAATTCACTATAACATTTAGTTAGGATACAAGCACATACTATAAAATAAATATTTAAAACCTGATATATTAAACAACTATTATATATTAAATAAAACAGTTAAAATGATATCCAATGATCTAGAACACAGGTTAGCAAACTTTTTCTGTAATAGGCCAGACAATAAATATTTTAGACTTTGTGGGTCATATAGTACCTGTTGCAACTACCCAATTATGCTGTTCTAGTGTAATATATACAACCACTTCACTCTGGTCTTGTGTACTATATGCCAGTGACTGTGACTGCATGCCAGTAAACTTCACGAACAAAATCAGAGAGCAGGCCAAATTTGGTCCATAGGCCATAATTTGCTAACTCCTGATATATTATACTCTATTTAAATTATATTCTAACTTTTCAAATCATATTCTAATCTAGCATATTCTGATATTTTAAAATGTTATTTTTTTAATCATTTGGAATAAATGACTTTCACGTCTCTAAAGAAATAATTCATGTAAGACAAGTATCTATAAATTAGGTCAGTTTTTAATATCACCTTTAGAAAAAATTACCATTTGTACAGTTCTTTACAATGTTGTGATATATATCATCTTATTAGATCTTTACAACCCAACCTGGAGGGACAGGTAGGCAGATATTCCTTCTCCTATTAAGACTCAAAATATTAAGTGACTTGCTCAGAGGGTCACAGTTAGCAGCAAAGTTTCTTAGTGGAAAAGCAGAAAATATGTATAGGTCTCTGACAAAAGTTTGTTCCCATTCCAATACACTATACTATTTCATTATTTTATGATAACACCTTATATTACAAACCAACATATTTAAGGACATTAATCTGTAGCATAACAAGTATCATTTCACTGAATATAATGAGATTTCTCTACTAAATGTAAATGGGTAGAACTTTTCATACTTTTCTCCTTTTTGGAGACGATGCCTCTTGGTAAAGATGGGACTTTCATTTATCATTTTAGGATATGGTAGTTTTAAACACATTTTTGCTTTACCTTCCATAGCATATTCTGGTGATAAATGGCTTGCTGCTTCTAAAAAATAGGTACTATCCTTCGAACAAGCCACTCCAAGTGTAGACTCATTGTCCTGTATAGATTTTCTGTCTTCTTTGGACACAGCAATGACCTTTTGGTGCTTTTTGGAAAATTCAGCCAAGGACTCCAGTGCACTCTCAAAGGTTGAATGGTGCTGAATCAACTGTCGAACCCATTTAGAAAGTCCTAAGGCAAAAAGTAAACCCAGCAAAACTTTGGTTATTCGTGACTATATACTAAGAAAAACAATTAGGTAACTTCTCTGGTGAAGTAATCTACTTTGAATTTAGAGTATATAGAATGGTTCTCAACCATTTTCCTGCCTTTTTACCTTCGTAAGCACAATATGCTCTTGTATCAGTAGCATTTCTCTTTACATGCAGTGATTGTCAACTGGATGGAAGGAAGAGGCAGTAGAAGTAGAATGGAGATAGGGAAATGCATTATTCATTCATCTGAATATCAGAGGAATAAGGCAAATTTAATTTTATCATTGTTGTTATTGTTCAGTCACGAAGTTGTGTCTGACTCTTTGTGACCCCATGGACTGCAGCATCCCAGGCTTCCCTGTCCTTCACCATCACCCAGAGTTTGCCCCAACTCATGTCTATTGAGTTGGTGATGCCATCCAATCATTTCATCCTCTGTCGCCCCCTTCTTCTCCTGCCCTCAATCAGGGTCTTTTCCAAAGCGTCAGCTCTTCTCATCAGGTGGCCAAAGTACTAGAGCTTCAGTTTCAGCATCAGTCCTTCAATGAATATTCAGGGTTGACTTCCTTTAGGATTGACTCCTTTGATCTCCGTGCAGTCCAAGAAACTCTCAAGAGTCTTCTCCAGCACCACCATTCGTAGGCATCAATTCTCTGGCGATTAGCCTTTTTTATAGTCCAAATCTCAAATTCATACATGACTACTGGAAAAAGCACACCTTTGACTATATGGATCTTTGTTGGCCAAATGATGTCTTTGCTTTTTAATACGCCGTCTAGGTTTGTCATAGTTTTCCTTCCCAGGAGCAAGTGTCTTTCATGTTCCTGGGGCTCCTATCTTTTTGCCTTATCATACTGTTCATGGGGTTCTCGCGGCAAGAATACTGGAGCAGTTTGCTCTTCCCTCCTCCGGTGCACCCAGGCTGTGTCAGAACTCTCCACGTGACCCATCTGTCCTGGGTGGCCCTGCACAGCACGGCTCACAGCTTGAGTTATGCAAGCCCCTTGCAAGCAACAGGCTGTGATCCATGAAGGGGAATTTTATTACAATTCCCCACAAAAACTGCCTATCTTTTAATTGCAGAGAAAACAGAAGTTGTAAACAACACAATCTCTTATTACAACTTTTAAATTTGATTCCTTGAGCAAAAATAAATTGGAGTTTGATCCCTGGGTTGGGAAGATCCCCTGGAGAAGGGAATGACTACCCACTCCAGTATTCTTGCCTGGAGAATTCCATGGACAGAGGGGCCTGGGAGGCTACAGTCTATCTGGTTGCAAAAAGTTGGACACAACTGAGTGACTAACGCTTTCACTTTGGGCTTCCCTGGTACTCAAATGGTAAAGAATCTGCCTGTAATGCAGAAGACCCACGTTCAATCCCTGGGTGGGGAAAATCCCCTGGAGAAGGGAATGGCTATCCCCTCTGCTATTCTTGGACTTCCCTGGGGACTCATGTGGTAAAAGAATGTGCCTGCAATGCAGGAGAGACAGGTTTGATCCCTGGGTCAGGAAGATCTCCTGGAGAAGGGAATGGCTACCCACTCCAGTATTCTTGCCTGGAGAATTACATGAACAGGGGAGCCTGGCAAGCTATAGTACTTGGGGTCACAAAAAGTCGGACACAACTGAACCACTTACCCTTTATCACTTTCACAATCTCAAAGGGTTTTTTTTTTGGTTTCCCTTCTCCCAATTCCAAATATATTAAACTATTCTGGGTAAAAGGAATAACACCATTTTATGGGTAAATCATGTCCTATATGAATATATATATGTATTTTTAATATATAAATAATCAAGTTATAAGGGATAAGATTTGACCCTGTGACACATGAAAACTGCATAAAAATAAGCCATATTAACAGGATCAAGTGTTTTGGACAATGACCCACTTCAGAATGAAATTCAGAAATTTGGACTTTAGAAAATAAATATTCTCTGCTGATGTTGCTAAAACTATAATCATCGTTTGGAGCAGTTTAAAAATTCATTATGGCGTTTTCAGTTGAGAGGAAGATAAGACAGGGCATCAAGCAACTTGAACAATTAGACTTTCATTACAAATACATTCCTTTAGTTTTTCTGTTTAATGGAGACTTCCTATCAATCTATTCTTATGCAAATTGAATTTAAACTTAAATTAGTCATCAAAAGGAATCTGTATGTTGTGCTGTTACTGCCTACATAAGATTTCAGTCTTCTTCATGAGTCTCAGAAAAAAATAAAAATCTTATAGAAAATAATAAAAAATGTTTAATTAAAAAAAATCTCTCAATGAATCTGAGGTAAAATTTTCAGTTCTAGATTTGAAAAGAAAAGAAATTTAAAATATGCATTTCTTTAAAGTTCTTGCTTTTTGTTTGCCTGGGGAAAATAATTATACCAAATAAAAATATGAAAAATTTTCCAATTTAAAAATTTTAGCATTATAATTATCACTTTCATTTTGACCTTTTTGTGATTTTTTAAAAAAGCCTTTTCAGTACAAAACGTCAGTTTGCTTTTGAAAACTTGAAAGAATCTGAGCTCCACCTGCTGACTAAACATAAGCGCTTAACATTTGCTTTTGGTTATGACTTGGCCTAAGCTCAATGGCTTGCTCTACAGGGAAAGAGGGGAAAAGATTAATAAAGCAGCACTTCCTGCTTCAATCCAGGTGGATATGTTTTAATATTGAATCAGATATAATGATTAGGTTCTGAAATATAAAAAGTAGAGTACATATACATAGACAGTTAATCTGAAACAAAAAATTAGCATCATTTCATTATATTATAGTATGGTACGAAATTTTTAGCTCTAAAGCTAACAATAAAAATGCAAGTATTTCTAACAGTTCTTTAATAACATAGATTCCTGATATTCATTTCAAAGGGACTGTGCTACAGCTGGATGAAAACAATAGGCACACAGTATTTGCTCATTTGAGTGGGGAAAAATGACCATCTACTTCATCTTGCAGTATGCAGTGGTGCATTTTTTTCTTTTTAGAAGATACTAACTCTGATTAATATAAACTCTGTAACAACAGAAGCATTTCTAAACAAACAAACAACAATAAAACTCAAATAATTCAAAATGAAAGAAGAGATCGATGACGACACCCTCTCATGCATTCCCTGGAAAATCTGAACAAAATGAGTGAGAACTCACTACTGTCTCCTCATCGAAACTGAGGTCCAGCACGTTAAAAAAAAAAATAATAATGAAAGAAGAATCCTATGCAGCCAATGAACTGCTTGTGTGCTTAAATGTAAAAAATTAGTATTTATTGAAAAATTAATTTCTGTGGAACAGTTTTTTTCCCCGACAATGCTAAATAAATTACTGCTATGCTATTGAATCAAAACCACATTTTGATGAAACTGAAGGATCTTAATTGATTAATACTACATTAGAACTAACCAGATTCTTCTCTCTAAAGATCTTTTGTAAACATAGAGGCATTAAAAGGCTAGATTTCCAGGCAATGTGAATTTTTTCATGTTAGATCTAGTAATTCAAATTCTCTATCCAATTCTTTGTCTTTAAAAATAGAAGTCATTAAATAATAAAGCTTGCTACCAACTCTTACTCTAAGCCCAGCTGAGACTCTTACCAGATATGTATCGACTTGGGTTACTCCTGAAGCGGTCATCCACTAGAATAAGAGCCCCCCAATCATTCTTGTGTCGAATACACCTGTTAAAAAATAGGGAGAGAGTAAGATAAATACAACAGTGCAAAACAGTCAAATTTCTAATGGGACAGAGAGAAAATTGAGAAAATTAATGATGTGTCCTTTAATCAAAGTCATGATTATGAATAAGGTTTATAGAAACTACTCACTACAATGTACCAGAGTAGGTGTATTTAAAAACACCCTTTTGCCAACTACTTTTGCCAGCTACTATACCCAAAAATGCTACATACATTCTATTTCAAAAGTCAAGAAAATTATAAAAATTATTTCCTCCAAACCTTCCTTACATACACAGAATATTTTTTACCTTATACTAGCTGTAGATTTTATGTAGATAACTTTTATTCTGATTTAACAAGTTTTTATCATAAATGAATAAGTTTGTAAAAAGTAAAAAAAATTTTTGCACCAATTGATATAATCATGCAGTTGTTCTTTTTAAACTGCTAATATGGTGGATTACACTAGCAAAATGTCAGATATTGAGCTTGCCTTTTTTTCACTCCTAAAATAACCACTATGTCTATGGTGCATTATTCTTTTTATGGATTGTGGGGCTCAATTTGCTAATTGTTTCATTTTAAAAATTATTAAACATTTTAAAATTCTGTAGTTCTTTAGTACATTTACAAGGTTCTGCAACCTATAACACAATCTATTACAGAATATTTTAATCGCACCAAAAAAGAAACCCCACGCCCATTAGTCTCCCTGAATTACTCGGATTATTCCCCTAACCCCTGACAACCAGTAATCTACTTTCTGTTCATATGCATGTGTGTGCATGCAAAGTGGCTTCAGTCGTGTCCAACTCTCTATGACACCATGAAGTGTAGCCCACAGGCTCTTCTGTTCATAGTATGCTCCAGGCAAGATACTGGAGTGGATTGCCATGCCCTCCTCCAGGGGATTTTCCTGACCTAGGGATCAAACCTGTGTCTCTTATCTCCAGCATTGGCAGGTGGGTTCTTTATCACTAATGCCACCCTGGGAAGCCCTAGATTTATCTGTTTTGGACACTTCATAAACTAGAATCTTATAATATATGGCATTTTGTGTCTGGCTTCTCTCATTTAGCATGATGTTTTCAAGGTCCTTGTATAATATATTATTACTGAATAATAGTACATTGTATGGATATACCACAATTTGTTTATCTATACATAAAGTAATGACCATTTTGCATTGTTTCCACTTCTATTATGAATAATGCTGCTATATATATTTGTGTACAAGCTTTTATGTAAATACATTTTAAAAAACTCTTGAGTATAAACTTAGGAATAGAATTGCTAGTTCATATGGAAACTCTGTTTAAATTTTGAGGAACTGCCACATTTTTTTTCCAATGCAGTCGCATAATTTTACATTTCCATTAGCCATGCATGAGATTTGCAATTTCTCCACAGCTTCATTAACACTTGTTATTGTCCCTCTTTTTCAATATATTTACCTTAAAAGGTATGAAGTGGTACTTCACTCTGGTTTTGATTTACATTTCCCTAATGACTAATGAGTTTGGGTAGGCTCTGGGAGTTGGTGATGGACAGGGAGGCCTGGCGTGCTGCAGTTCATGGGGTTGCAAAGAGTCGGACACGACTGAGCGACTGAACTGAACTGAATGACTAATGATGTTGCACATCTTTTCATGTGCATACTGGTCATGTGTATATCTATTTTTTATGAGAAATATGTATTTAAATTATTGGTCAAAATTTAAATTGCACTGTCTTTTTATTGTTGAACTCTTTATAAGAGTTCTTTATATATTCTGGAACTAGATTCTGATCAGACACATGATCTGAAATATTTTAAAAACCTTTGCCTAATCCAAGGTCAAGAAAATCTACATCTTGTTAGCCCTTGATCCATTTTGAGTTAACTTTTCTATACAGTGTGAGGTAGGGGTCTAACTTCATTCTCTTGCATTTGTTACCGTTCAGGCGCTAAGTTGGTCCAACTAGTTACAACCCCATGGATGTAGCACGCCAGGCCTCCCTGTCCTTTAGTATATCCCGGAGTTTGCTCAAATTCATGTCCATTGAGTCAGAGAAGCTATCTAATAATCTTATTCTCTGTCGCCCCCTTCTCCTCCTGTCCTCAATCTTTGCCAGCAGCAGGGTCTTTTCCAGTGAGTTTGTTCTTCCCATCAGGTGGCCCATGTATTAGAGCTTCAGCTTCAGTATCAGACTGTCTAATGAGTATTCAGGGTTGATTTCCTTTAGGGTTGACTGGTTTGATCTCCTTGAAGCTCAAGGGACTCTCAAGAGTCTTCTCCAGCACCACAACTCAAAAGCATCAATTCTTTAGCACTCAGCCTTCTTTATGGTCCCACTCTCATATCCATACATGACTACTGGAAAAATTGTAGTTTTGACTATATGGATTTTTGTTGGCAAAGTGATGTCTGTTTTTTTTTTTTAATTGAAGGATAATTGCTTTACAGAATTTTGTTGTTTTCTGTCAAACCTCAACATGAATCAGCCAGGTATACATACATCCCCTCCCTTTTGAACTTCCCTCCCATCTCCCTTCCCGTCCCAACCCTCTAGGTTGATACAGAGCCCGTTTGAGTTTCCTTAGCCACACAGCGAATTCCCTGTTGGCTATCTATTTTATATATGGTAATGTAAGCTTCCATGTTACTCTTTCCATACATCTCACCCTCTCATCCCCTCTCCCCATGTCCACAATTCTATTCTTTATGTCTGTTTCGGAACTGCTGCCCTGTAAGGAAATTCTTCAGTACCATTTTTCTAGATTCTGTATATATGCATTAGAATACGATATTTATCTTTCTCTTCTGACTTACTTCACTCTGTACAATGGATTCCAGGTTCATCCATCTCATTAGAACTGACTCAAAGGCATTCCTTTTTATGACTGAGTAATATTCCATTGTGTATATGTACAACTTCTTTATCCATTCATCTGTTGATGGACATTTAGGTTGCTTCCATGTTCTAGTTATTACAAATAGTGCTGCAATGAATAATGTGTCTTTTTCAATTTTGGTTTCCTCAGGGGATATACCTAGGAGTGGGATTGCTGGTGGCTTTATTCCCAGTTTTTTAAGGAATCTCCATACCATCTTCCATAGTGACTGTATCAATTTACATTCCCACCAAAAGTGCAAGAGCGTTCCCTTTTCTCCACACCCTCCCCAGCATTTATTGTTTGTAGACTTTTTGATGATGGCCATTCTGACTGGTGTGAGGTGATATCTCATGGTAGTCTTGATCTGCATTTCTCTAATAATGAGCGATGTTGAGCATCTTTCCACATATTTGTTAGCCATCTGTATGTCTGTTTAGGTCTTTTCCTAACAGTCTTTTCCTTTCACTTTTTGATTGGGTTGTTTGTTTTTCTGGTATTGAGTTGTATGAGCTGCTTGTATATTTTGGAATTAATCCTATCAGTTGTTTCATTTGCTATTATTTTCTCCCATTCTGAGGGTTGTCTTTTCATCTCACTTACAGTTTCCTTTGCTGTGCCAAAGCTTTTAAGTTTAATCAAGTCCCACTTGCTTTTGTTTTTATTTCTGTTATTCTAGGAGGTGGATCATAGAGGATTTTGCTTTGATTAATGTCATCAACTGTTCTGCCTATGTTTTCCTCTAAGAAGTTTGTAGTTTCTGGTCTTACATTTAGGTCTTTAATCCATTTTGAGTTTAATCTTTGTGTGTGGTGTTAGGAAGTGTTCTAATTTCATTCTTTTACGTGTAGTTGTCCCAGTTTTTCCAACACCATTTATTGAAGACACTGTCTTTGCCCCATTGTATATTCTTGCCTCCTTTGTCAAAAATAAGGTACCCATAGGTGCATGGGTTTATTTCTGGGCTTTCTATCTTGTTCCATTGGTCTATATTTCTGTTTTTGTGCCAGGACCATACTGTCTTGAGGACTGTAGCTTTGTAGTATAATCTGAAATCAGGAAGGTTGATTCCTCCAGCTCCATTTTTCTTTCTTAAGATGGCTTTGGCTATTTGGGGTCTTGTGTTTCCATATGAATTGTGAAATTTTTTGTTCTAGTTCTGTGAAAAATGTCATTGGTACTTTGATAGGATCACATTGAATCTGTAGATTGCATTTGGTAGTAAAGTCATTTTCACAATATTGATTCTTCCTACCCAGGAACATGGAAGATCTCTCCATCTGTTTATGTTATCTTTGACTTATTTCATTAGTGTCTTAAAATTTTCTGTGTACAGTTCTTTTGTCTCCTTAGGTAAGCTGTTTTCTATTTATTTAATTCTTTTTGTTGCATTGGTGAATGGGATTGATTCCTTAATTCTTCTGATTTTTCATTGTTAGTAATATAGAAATTCAAGTGATTTCTATGTATTGATTTTGTATCCTGCAACTTTGCTAAATTCACTGACTAGCTATAGTAATTTTCTGATTCTATCTTTAGGGTTTCCTATGTACAGTATCATGTCGTCTGCACAGTGAGAGCTTTACTTTTTCTTTTCTGATCTGGATTCCTTTTATTTTTCTTCTCTAATTGCTGTAGCTAGGACTTCCAGAACTATGTTGAATAACAGTGGTGAAAGTGGACACCCTGGTCTTGTTCCTGATCTTAGAGGGAATGCTTTCAGTTTTTCACCATTGAGAATAATGTTTGCTGTAGGCTTCTCATATATGGCCTTTACTATGTTGAGGTAGGTTCCTTCTGTGCCCACTTTGAAGAGTTTTAATCATAAATGGGTGTTGAATTTTGTCAAAGGCTTTTTCTGCATCTATTGAGATGATCATATGGTTTTTATCTTTCAATTTGTTAACATGGTATATCACACTGATTGATTTGTGAACACTGAAGAATCCTTGCATTCCTGGAATAAACCCCACTTGATCATGGTGTATGAGCTTTTTGATGTGCTGCTGAATTCTGTTTGCTAAAATTTTGTTGAGGATTTTTGCATCTATGTTTATCAGTGATATTGGCCTGTAGTTTTCTTTTCTTGTGTTGTCTTTATCTGGTTTTGGTATCAGGGTGATGG